CACCATGGACACCATAGGCTGCTACACCCAGCAAGGTGGCAGCTGAGTCGTTACACAACCAAAGTCAACAAATGCCACGTTACAGGCAGAAGCCAGCCTGCCAGGCGGACAAAGGCTTTGGAGCAAATCAGGATTTCACCTTCCCAACCAAATTACCTCATAGTCTGTCCGCAACTCTGGTTATTTCAATAACACTACTGGAATCCCTTGTTTACAACATGCATGGTCCCACTGACACATTAAAGATAAGCCTTTTGCTTGCTTACCAGATCTGGTGCTCTGCAACTGTGACAGTCAAAGATGGGAACTTAAACTACACCTTGACTACATTTTATTTTGGTTAGTCCAGCAGTGCCAGTAACATAAGAGGGTATAAAGACATAGAGATTGGCAGAGGAGCTTTAACTTGTTACCACCTCTTGACTGGAGACTGCCATAGCCAGGAGACAGTGGGGAATGGACTGAGCATTACAACCATAATTAGGAGCAGCCAAAGACCACTCTCGCTATTCATTCCAGTGACTTGATCCCTGTGCTCCCCCCTCATAAGAGCTGAGCCTCCCACCAAAACTGGAGTAGCAATGGGAGCATGACTCTTCATTGTCCTTCCTGGTCACGGAACAGATGTACAAGGGAGAAGAAAAGTCCTTAGAGCCTCCTGCACAAACTGAAAAAGGAGACAATTTCTGACCTGAAACAGAGAAAATTCCCATATTGCTGTTGCAGTCATCCACACAGGGAGCGCTTTTTCCCCCATCAGTAAGAGCTCACAATGTTCTTTCCACCACGACTTGTCTGACATCCTCAGCTCCAGGCACCCAGCAAGCACACTCAACATTGCTCCCTCAGTGAATGCCCTACACCAACAATCCTCCACATGCATAGGGTTGCAACATTTGAGTATGAAACACATTGAGTGACCATTGAACAGAGGAGCCGCTACCCCCTTCACAAGGCCGACATTTGCTCAGTATTCATTACAGCAAAGATTAATCATGGTCACCAAGATGCCAAAGTACTGCTGAAGGCTGCCTGGATACCAGGTACCATAAGACGTTTAATTCCAGTGCAGGGAACAAGGAGGTTCCCTTTTAAAAGCTTCATGCAGCAAATTTCCAGGAGCCTCCTGAAACTTGGGAAGAGCTCTGATGACAACCTGTCTGTAAGTAAAAAAGCATAGGGAAGGTCAGCATTCCTCCACCAGCTCCGTTCTCTCTCACACCTCCTCATCGACCTGGCTGACTTCAATGACAGTGTTTGCTATGCACACGCCTGAAGAGTGACACCACTAATGCAACAACTAGGCTTATCCCTAAGCGATGCGTGTGACCATAAGCAAGCAAATCACTCCAGCTACCTGGCTCAGAGGTGCTTAGTACCAAGCAGGAGAAGAACACGAGAGACGGGATCAGATCCTGAGCTTTTCTGGGCTTCTTTTTCAATTCCCTTGGCATGTCTCCCCCTGAAAGATGAGACACAAGTACAACAGCTGCATTTTCATGAGGAAGGGAGCATACTCCGGCAAATTATTTTAGCTCATGTGGCTCTCAGATAACTTCCCTTGTGCCAGTCATAGGCGATCATGAATGAGATGATCTTTTTACCAATACCCTTTTGTAACAAGCTTTGAGGTCCCTGTATGAAAAGGACTTGGGAACAGTAGCACATGGTGACAATCACAGGGGAAACTTTCCTGCAGGAGTTACAGATTGGTTTGCATGGATTTCTCAAAAAATGTTTGTGCAAATTCTTTTTTATGAGGATGCAAAGGCCCTGCAGTACAGAGGCAGCTCTGCAAATATTGTTTCACTAGCGTTTATTAGCCAACACGAAAGCTACAGAAATTAGACAGTATTTAATGCTCACTGTAATGTTTATAAGACTTCTATTGCCGAACAAGGAAGCAAGATGGTCTGTGCAATAACCAAGTGTGATAAAGGCATTTTAGGCTTTATGGTCCTCGATTAAACTGATTTTTAAAGTCACATAAAGGTTTTGCTGTTCCACATTTCTCTTCTTGGTTTCCCTA